TCCGTACGTTTCTATTCTAGGGATATGTAGATCGTTGCTGTTTGACACATTTGTATACTTCGACGCAACATCAAATGACTGTATAAAGTTTTGGTCGTTCGTGTTACGTAAATGTTCAAGGAATCGGTTGGTGTTAGGCAAATATGCGGGAACTTTACTTAGGAATTGGCTGACAATCTTGTTCAAAAACGAAGACATTCTATCAGCTGGTCCCCCCACACAACTAATAATCGGTCGAATCTTGCAGGATGTAGCGGATACCATTCGTAAGCTTAACGAAGAGAGCTTATGCGTTTTCACGAGGCTGTAAAAGGCAGGGGACAAAATGGGTTATCAATTTTAAGCCGGCTGAGAAGCTTTTCGTTAAGACCAGCTTCTTTACCAACCATTATCCAAATGTGATTAAATCGCTTGCTTTGAGAAATGAAATCCTTTTCAGTTGCGCGACGGTAAGTTGTCTCATCGGATAAATGATTCTCTCTTACAGCACGATCTAGCTTTTGCGGTATAATAACGAACTCGCCTTCCTTTGTCACTAATTGTGATACGAAGGGTACCGTCTTTAATTCACTCAATTTCAACTCACGTAACTCGTTAAAACCTTGCCTTTCCTCTCAAAAGTCAGATTGGGCTGTCTTATACCACGGTTTTTAGTTAGAACGTTTAAGATTCCTGCCGCAAGTATTCGAAATTTAATCACGAATGATGGTTGGTAAAGAAGCTGGTTTTAATGACAAGTTTTTCAGCAGGCTTAAAATTGATAACCCACTTTGCCCCGTCTTTTACAGCCTCGTGAAAACGCATAAGCTCTCTTCGTTTAGCTTGCGAACCGTATCCGCTACATCCTGCAAGATTCGACCGATTATTAGTTGTGTGGAAGAACCAACTGATAGAATATCTTGCTTTTTGAACAAGATTGTCAGCCAACTCCTAAGTAAAGTTCCCGCACATTTGCCCAACACCACCGATTCCTTGAACATTTACGTAATACGAATTTCGACCAAAACTGCGTTATAGAGTCGTTTGATGTTGCGTCGACAAATATGTCAAACAGCGACGCTTTACAAGCGCTTTCTGAGTTACTCGATCTACATATCCCTAGAGGAAAAGTACGGCTCAGTAAAGCGAAAATCATGTCTCTGGTTAAGGAATGTCTCGGCTGCAACATTTTCAAATGGTCGGGCAAGTACTTTACACAA